GACTCAATCCCTAGACCTGCCCTAACCTCTTGTACAGACGCCTGTTGACACTTTGTGCTTTGAGCCCCTGACCTGCCCCTAGAAACGTGTACAAATGTTGTGTATGTAGCTTGGGTCGTGTGGACTTGAACCGTAGACCTGTCTATCAGCAGTCTCAGGGTCAGTCCATAGGTGTAGCGCTACGCTCTTCAAAAGGTCAGTCAACTGTAGTCTAGACAGTTCTCGAAGTGTCAACTTGACCTTTCGAAGTGCCAGGAAGCATTCCATCAGTCTTCGAAAGGTCAAGAGCACAGGTATAGACAGTCCCAGTCCAGCAGCAAGTACCAGAGTCGGACTGCACATCTTGAAGGCCTGAGACATCGGCAGGCCCAGACCACTGAACGAAACAGTACAAATAAAGAGCAGCGATTAGTCATTCACTTATTACCTGGGGAACTACGTGGAAGCGCTGCCCGAGCGACTTGTGCGTTAGGTTCGCCAGTGGTCAGCAAGAAGCTTGAAGGTGGAAGAGGGCGAGCGGCCATAGCCGCTAGTGAGGAGGAAGACGACAGCTGCCATAGCGGCCAGTGTGACGAAGTCAGTAGTAAGTGTGTGTGTGCGTGTGTGTGTGTTTGTGCGTAGACATTCAGGGTAGATCCTAGTGCGTGTGTATGTGTTGGTGTGTCTGATGGTAAATACAGTTTTTGGGTGGGATCTTCAGACTGGCGCTCAGACGCCATAGCCACAAGATGTGACAAGTTGATTTGAGCTGAGTTACTGGCCGAAGGCCATATCTCTGAGTTTTCTCTGTGGGAGCACTGCACCATCTCACGGTTGTTGCTGATTCTGCTTGGAGGAAGTTGTTTTGCCATTCAGCACCTGCATCTTTGCGTGCTAGAAGTGAAATCGAGACAAGTCTGATTGCAGAAAAGAGGGGAGAAGAGAATGGAGCAGCGTAGATGGGATGGGTGGGAGGGGAGAGAGAGTGGTGACTAGTACTTTCCCACTCCCATGGGGTCACATTGATCGCCCCGATAAGAAGCCACTAATCAAAAAATTGAGTTTGTGCTTTTTTTGAGATAATAAAAATAATAGTAATAATTTTGAAATTGCAAGTTCGGCAGGTCTCCTAATCCCCAAAATCCCAAAGTTGAAATAAATAAATAATAACATTGGGCCTCAGACTGCAGTTGTAACCGAAAAAAGATAAACAATCGAACTGGAAAGGAAAAAAAAAAAAAAAAAAAAAAAGCAAGTTTGGGAAATTCCGAATTGAAAAAACAAAAATTTGGAATATTCCAGATGAGAGTAGATGCAGCAATTTCCGATTTTGAGAAGTGGAATCCCCAAATGTGAGGAGTGTGTCCTCATGGGGCCCTAGACAACATGCATATGTTCTGGACTGTGGCCCCCAGCGACCCTCGTGCCCGCCCTAAGTGAAGGCGGGCCTGATCTCAGCATTTTCCAATGTGGGTATCAGACAGTTGTGGCACGCCAGTTGGTTGAAGTGCAACCTGGGGCTCGCCCTGGGCTCTTCCAGAAGAAGCAGCTGTGTCAAGCAGTTGAGCCCAGGACGCAGGTGGTTGTGCCCTGGGCACACGCAATGTGAGACCGACACATCACGAAGTGGCGGTGGGCCTATGAGAATGCAGAATTGTCGGCACACCAACCCCGCGGGCCAATTCAAACACAGCAAACACTCGGGGCGTGGATCAACCTGGGTGTGCCCAACTGAAAAGGGCCCAGGCCCTCAACTGTAGACATGGGCCTGGGCGCAGACACTGGGGCCCGACCAGAAGCTACTGGAAACTTCCTCAGTCAGGCCTAGACAGTCCAGCAGCAGGGCAGTGTCTCCCATATAGGAGGAGGCCAGATACTGTGAGGCATTCTGGCCTAGGCAGGCAATGTGGACACGCTGCTGCGATTGAGCGTAAGTGTTCGCATGTGCTAATGTTGGCTGGGGTGCGCGGGGGCGCTGAGAGGTGTGGGACACTGCAGGGCAGCGGGGTGCCAAGCGGGCATAGCCGGGCTGCAGGGGCGCGGGCAGGTGGAGGCGATAGTGGTCTTCAGGAAGGAGGCACAGGTGTGGGTGGACAAGGGGTGATGAGGGGATGCGAGGGACCGTACCTGGTGTATTGTGTGATGTTAGCGTTGGTGTTGATGTCATGTACATCGGTCTTCGTGGTTGAAGTGAGCCACCCTGTACAGGTGGCAACGAAAATACTGGCATGGGTACGGGCTGGTAGAGGTTCCTATCGGGTAACCGTGGAATACCTGGTACCTTCCCATTCCAACCCCCCAACCCAGCCATGCCCCTCCCTCTGCCCCCCTCTCCCGGCACCACAAGTTTTAGGCCCAAATTGTTCTCTCCTGCTGTTGATCGCGTCGGCCCCCGCCTTTTTCTTGCAAAGGGGCGGGAGCCCTCCCGACCATGTCACGCAGGAGTTAAACGAAGACAAAACAAAGAGACAACTTGGGGATGACGCATAAATAATCCCACGAGCCGCCAAGACGGTCGGGGTCGCGTCGTCCCTCCGCCGTTCTAGCCGAGTGCGCCAGCTGTACATCTCGCGGTCCCCTATGACAGGATAGGTTCTCTTGGGGCATAAGCTTTCTTCCCTAAGGGGTTGTCACCACCCTTAGGGGTGTATCCCCACTGAACTACTGGCCCACGTGCGAAAGCTTTTACATGAAGTCGCAGAGGTGAGTCAGCCGAGGGCGTTTGCTCGCTCGCTGTAGTATAGGTATACGCAATAAAAACGCCTATTGAACCCGGACGTCGTTCGTCGCTTAGGGCGGTCTCAATCAAGCGTGAAACCCACAACTCAACCCTGGCCCCGTACATACAATAGTCACATAACCATGCATATATATATATATATAACTTATCAAGGCGAAATCACACATACCCTTAATAAAGCAACACACATATATATACTAGGTAGATTTCCCGGGCGACCGGATCCCCCTGCCACGCCCGGGTCGGTGATCGGGCGCCCGGCCGGTCGTGAGGCCCGGTTGGGGTCCCGGGCCCGATTTGCGCGAGTAGAAAAAAAAATGAAAAAGACCTCGTTTCGGGCCTGGGGGCCTGCGGACCCCATCGGCTGACAAAAAAAAAATTATGGCGGCTCTACCGGCCGCAAAACACACCCAAAGTTCAAAGGCCATCTCGGGCCGTCGATCATCAAGATCGACGGCTGGGAAATCGCGCGGGGTGATGGACTTTGCCCGCGCGATTTTGCGTGGCGTTTGAAGTCGAACGCTTGCGCGAAATCGCGCGGACGAAGTCACTTCGAAGGCCACGCAAAATGGTGCGGGCGAAGTCCACCACGCCGCGCGATTTCGAAGTCGAGCATCCTTGCCCATTTTCGAGGTTGGGCTTCCCGCTGCCCGTCTGCCTGTCGCACCGCCGCGCCCTCCCGCTGCCCGTCGTCGACACCAGGTACGCGGTCTTCTTCTTCTTCTTCTTCTTCTTGGCAGCTCCACGTGGCAGCTCGGGAGTGCACACCACATGGCAGATCGGGGTTGTGTGTGTGTGTGAGAGAGAGAGAGAGAGAGAGAGAGAGAGAGACTTCAATTTTTTTATTTTTTTTTTTGAATTTTTTCCATCCTTGGTCCTCCTCCTCCTCCTCCTCCTCCTCCTCCTCTTCTTCTTCCTCTTCTTCTTCTTCTTGGCAGCTCCACGTGGCAGCTCGGGAGTGCACACCACGTGGCAGATCGGGGTTTTGTGTGTTTGTGTGTGTGTGTGTGTGTGTGTGTG